CCTGTAAATAAAATAAATAAAATCTTCTTATTTCTAAAGCCTACTTTGTGTAACATTTAAAAATATATCTACCAAATTTTATATTTATAATTATTCACTATAGAATGTTTTACCAACTTCAATGTAAACATTTTTATATAATTAAGAAAAATTAAAAACATTAAATTTTAATATTTTAAAAGTTTAATTCAAAATTAAATTTATTATCTAATATTAGAATTATAAAATTCTTTATATATATAATATTTTAAAATTTTAATATTTTATTTAAATTATATATTTTTAAATTAAATAATTAAATAAGTATATAATATATACATATATAGTCTACTAGGTACAAATCTAAAAGTATTGTTAAACCACGCTATTATGATGTTTAATATTCAATTGTTTAAATACTAATATTTATTATTATTATATTTTTTTATTAAACCTAAATCCTAAAATTTAAAATTAATTCTATAAGAATTTAATTAAAATTTGATTAAGATTTTTAAAGAATTTTTATGAAGTTTTTAAGATTCAAGTATAATTTTTTCAAGACTTTATTAGGACTTTTTAAAGATTTGATTTAGATTTGTTCGAATTCAATTAGGATTTATTTAGGAATTTTAGGATTTAATTAGTATTTAACTTAGATTTTTTTAGGACTTAATAATGATTTTAAAAGATTATTTAAGGTTTATTTGGAGTTGATTAAATTTCGATAAAAATACATCTAGGATTTTTTTTAAATTCATAAGTTGTATTTAGAATATTTGGGAGATTTTTTTTATTTTTTTAAGATTAGAAAATGAATGTTCTTGGATTATAAATCTAATATTCAAGTAAATAAATAATTTTCCAAAAATAAAAGGCATTTTTGAATTTTTATTCACATAATGTGACAAAAGGTTGTGATGGTAATTGCAAAAATTGTGGTGGCATTAACGATATTCTTTTTGTATTGCACTTTAATTTATAAATATTATTAGAAATTTTTTTAAAAATAATAATAGAATTAGAAATAAAATAAAAATATATTTAAAAAAAACTTATCTTTTTTGTTTTATAACAATCACAAGTATATCAAACAATAATTATTTTAAAGTTTTGAGCAATAATTAAATTAAGAAAAATCAAATAATTTTTTTTCTTATTGAGAACATTTAAATTTTAATTTAAAAATTATATTAATTGATTTTTTTAATTTTTACATATCAATAAAATTTTATTAAAATAAAAAATTATTTGATTAAATTTATTATATCCATATAAAATTTTAAAGTAAAATTTAGACGCATAATTTAAAAATATAAATATAAATATAAAAAAATGTTATAAATTCCTTTTTCTTTGAATTAAAAAAATACTAAATTAATAATTACAAAAATGATAAATTATCTTGTACCTTTATTACAAGGATAAAATTAATCTGGATATATAGATCAATAGTAATTTAGTATGTAATATTATACACTTAAAATAAAAAAATTATAAATTAATATTTAAAATTATCACACAACTTATATAAATATGGATAACATAAAAAAAAATTTCTAATAATATTTCTTTTTTATTTTTTAATATTAAATTATAATCTAATTTTTTTTATAGAAATTTCAACCATCCATTTTTATCTATTGATTTTAATATCATTCGAAATATATTTTTAGAATTTTTTAATTACCCTTAATCATCTATTGAAAGATACCAATTATTGTTCATATAATTATTTAGTTGTTTTTTTTGGATTGATTTAACTTAGCAAAAAATACTATATTATATTTATCAGTAATCTAATGATAAGCATTCATATAAGATTTAATAATATAATAATACTAAGTAATTTTTTTGATGTTTTTTATTTTTTATATAAATAATTTTCTTATTTATCATAAATATATTTAATATATATAAATGTTTATAAGAAATATTTTATATCTTTAAAGATTAATCTTAATTTTAAGTTTATTTGGCACAAAAACCATTAAGTATTATACTTTAATAAATATTATTTTATCTATTTCATCTATGATATCTTTATATATTTATCTAATTAATATTTTTATTCAAATTAGAAATATTTAAAATCATTACTCATTGCATCAATAAATAAGTTCTTACGAACCATCTAAATTTTATTTTTAGAAAAAATTAATTCCAAGGTGTATTTATTTTTACATTTATGCTTATATAATTGAGTAGTTTTAGTATTTTAAAACCATTTGACATATTTCTTATATAAAAAAACTCAAGGAATAAATCAATTGGATAAACCAAAGGAGACAAAGGCCATGTTTCATTCGCTGTATATTGTATTGCTTTCATCAAAAGTAAAGCAAAATAAAGCAATAATCCAACTTTTAATCAATCAAAGATCAAAATTTGCATGATATTGCAGCAGATTGTCAAGAGTTGCACTACACATTATTAGGAGTGGAGCTTAGAAGCTCTCAACGAATAAATAAACTAACAAATATTTGCAATTGGCCACCTTTTTTGTGGCCAATATGGGGTTTCTACTAGGTATGGAGCTCAATAGCACTACAACATGGAACATAGTGGAACTACATGCAATATAGAGTTTCAAAAGATATGAAGCTTCAATCAAAAGTTTGACTTACAATATGTAGTTTACAATATTTTTTTTATGGCCAACGGTTTACGCTTCTATTAGTTAATTATATATGCATATATATATATATATATATATATATGCTATAGAAGTTATTTTGTAAATTTTTTTTTTATATGTATGTAAGTTTTATTACAATTATATTTCTATTTTTTTATTATACAATACTAAGATTTATATTTTTGTTGAATATGTCAATTATTAATAATTATTTTGGATAAATTATGTAATACAACCTACTTATTAAATTGTGGTTTGTGTCTTTGTTAAAATAAACTTTGCAAAATTATTCAATCTATCAAGTAAAATCAAGAAAAATTATTTGAAGATTCTAAAATTAAATAGGTATTGAATATGGAGTCTTAGTAAGTCTTGGAAGATAAAATGTTAAAATATTTATTAAAAATTTACATAAATAATTATTAAACTTCTTAAAATTTTAGTATAATATACATTTGCATAAAATTAATATTTGATTTTATTATGAATATATTATCTATATAATTCTAAAGTAATCATTAAAAATCATACAATTGCTATTATTCTATGAAACTAAGTATTTTCTAAAAGTTCTAAAGCTTAAGATTGTTTTTTAATTTCTTTACAATATGAATTTATAATTACCAAAATATTTAGGATTTCAATTAAGCTATTTATTTTTTATTTATTAATTTTTTATCCACCTTCAAGTAGAGTAAGAAGCAAAAATAAACATTACAAAATTTCTTATATTCTTTAAATTTTTATTTCTTTGAAAGCTTTTTTTTTTTAATAAAAATTATGTATATATAAACATATGTATATTAATATAATATTTTTTTTAATTTTATATAAATTTATTTTCTTTTGATTGTAAAAAGAAATTTATAAAAAGTTTTTTAAAAATTAGAATTTATTTCAGATTGAGAATGCAATAATGAATATTGTAAAGTAAAAGCAATTCTAAGTCCAAGAAGGTATAAAAATTAAAAAAAAAATTATTGTGTTTTTTTATTTACAAAATTTTGGTTCTAATATTCATTGATCAATTTGGTGGGTTGATTCAAATGTACTTGTTTCTATAGAAATTTAATTGGATTTTCTTTGTTTATCTACAATCAAATATTTAGTATCTTTTGCAATCAATTTTGATTTTAGTGTGTGCTCTAAATAAGACAGGCTATTAGTTCAATTTATTTTTAAGGTTACTTTAGTATTTAATATATCTTTGTGAACCACTATTTATTTCTACACAACTTAGGACACAAACTAAAACACTTCTTATTTCTTTGTTGTTGTATTTTACTTCCAGAACATACATAACATTAATTGACCACCAAAAAATGTTTCAAAAAAGAAATTAGTAGCTTTGGCAAGAAGCTTTTTCTAATCTAAAAAATCCTGGGAAAAAATATTGTCAATGAAGCAAGTACATCAAACCAACAAGCTTGAATGTCAAGCAAACAATCTTGGACTATTAAACAAAGACGAAATGCTCATCCACAAGCAGGTTTAATGGAGGCTAAACAGAATACAAATAAAAGCCTCCAAGCTTTGAAATTTGCAAAAGGGGCTCCTTGACAATATCAACCAATAAATACACGTATTAGGGTTATTGACTTCAGAATCTCATCAAGTAGTACATCTCCATCCAAATCAAACAGTTACCCAATTATGCCAGTGCCATGATTCATTTTCTATGTAGAGCTCTTCACCAGATTACATCCAATATCCAAACAAGTCCAACTTACAGTTAATATTACTCAATTACTGCTTCATCTATCTGCAAATTTCCTCTGTTTTTTCTTAATTTTTCATGATAAGACATCACATCCAACTTACCTCTACTAACTGCTGTACTATCATCACGTTAAACTTCATTTTTTTCCTAAACAAAGATTGAATATGTGTATCTCTCTCTCTCTCACTCGCTTCCTGATCACAGATTTCCATACATCCATGTGGGAGTGTCTTGTCCTCTGCATGCAAAAAGTGTGGAGACGAGGGGTTTGATGGCTACTCTGGAGACACAAGTAGACACTGGGGGTATCATATTCTTCAACCACTGCTCCATTGCATGTCTTCAAATAATCACAAAGTACCCAGAGGCATCTTACAAGTAACTTAGAGTGTACCCACTGGGCATTATTATAAGAATTGAAACTAGGGATGGCAGGTACTGACACCTCCTCTTAGTCAACGATTGAATTCATTTGATCGGATGGCTGTCAACATGGGCTCAACTGGGTACTGATTAAACATCATTTCCTGTACACAGAAAAGGGTGATTACATGCCAACTACCACACCCCCTCAGTTTTGTGCTGGTTCTACCCACAAGGCACACACATTTTGGCCCCCCAGTTGCCTGCATGATGGCGCCTCCAAGCAACACATTCTAATACATGTATACCAAAAGGCTCATGTGTGTTGATGAAACATGGACTTCATCGACGCAGTTAGTGTGTGGGATCTGAAATATGATGAAGATGGTGTGGCACTGGCATTGTTTTTTTTGTTTCTTCCTGTGGGGTTCTCACATCGACACAACCACGAACCTTAAGAATTTGAAAGAGTGTGGAAGAGATACGGAAATCTGGGTACGTTACAAAAACATGTATGGGATCGTCACCCTCACGCTAAAACCCTGAACCTCAGGTATTTTTTGTTTGACAAGGGGTCATAACGTCTCAGTCACCCTTCGAATATGACCAAAAGGTCATATTTTGCACGGTTAGGATTTTGTGTTACAGAGCGTTTTTCTGGATTTTCTAGTCATGAGATGTTCTCTTTCGTACTTTGTTTTTTTATCTATTTATTTGTTTTTTGGTTTTGGTTTTCAGTAGCGCAGAAGAGATACGGAATTTGGCGTGCCTGATCGGTCTTTAACCGGGAAAATGGAGTGGTGCAGTCTGATCATTCTATGTGTGTCCTTTCATAGATTCTAATGAGCCAGCTTGATTGTTTTTTTGGAGCTTGTGGGGTTGTGTGTGCATGGTCTTCGTATGGTTGGAGTGTAGGGCGTCTTATGCAAGTTACAGTTTGGTTTTGTCAGGTCTCGGTCCCTTCCGCAAGTGTCGCTACTCTGCGACGGGTTCTCGCTCATGTTTTGTGTTTCTTCCTTGAATTCCTTCCTTTTTGAATGCAGCGATTTTTTTTATGGGAGTTAGAGTGTTGTGCTGTGTCCTGGTTGTTATTCTAGTCATGTGAGTTTGATCGGATTTGTATTTGAAGTCTTCGATGGAGTGCTCACTGTCGTCAACGCTTTGACGATGTGCTTCTCGTGGTGATTAGTAAAGTTTTAGGTTCTAACGTGGTTTTTGTCTTATCGATTCGAATAGTTTGGTCTCCTCTTGTTCTTTCAGTTGCCATTTTCAGTGTCGCGGAATGAACTGAGCAGGACTGATTACGGTTATTTCTTGTCAGTGTCACCAATTGTTTCTTTATTTAAGATACTTGTTGCAGATGGAGGTTTAGGGTAGCTCAAAGAAAACCTTAGGCTCAGAGTGAGCATATAGTCTGAGAGGTTCCAACATGCAGACTGATGGGGTAGTTTCCTTGTGTCTGTCGGAAAGTATTGCACCGCAGCCTCCAATTCAGACTAGTTGAAGTTGGAGGATATATGGTTTGTTTTAGGATCCTCTACAATTCCAGCCTTCAGTTAAACACTGACTGAACCTCATAGTTGGGTTCTTTTAGAACCTCTTCGGAGAATTTTCTGGAAGTTTGCACCTTTTCACGAATAATCCCAACAAGAGAGAGAACATGGCTGTTACAGTCAGTAAGTTTAGTGCGAGGACCTTGACGCAATTGGAGTCGCTGATGAATGGTATGAAGATTGTTGGAGAGGACGAATCACAGAAAGTCGAAGCAGAGCTTAACACTTCCTCTGGTGAGTGGGAAAAGAAGGAAAAGAAGAGTAAACATGAAGATGCAGTTGAGGACGACGATAGTGCATCAGATGTTGCGACTACCACATGCGGTGAGAAGGATATGAAGGCGATGAGTAAGGAAGTTGTAGCTACAGATGAAACTGGATCTTCGAATGCTGATTTTGAGAACTCTTCCTCGGACTTCGAGCAAAAGAAGCATGTCTGTGAGCTCAGTGTGATGCTTACAGAGGAACAGAAGTGGCCCGAGCGGGATATGTTTGAGGAAGTAATATCAGAGGACTTTGAAAAAATAATTAGTGTGGCAAGAAGTGAAGCCCACGTTCATGGAATACATTCTGAAGATCCCAAAATTCATGGCTTTCTGCATGAGTCATACCAGATAAAGAACAAGGTTCGTTCTGGCAAGTTCTGCAGTTCCCTCTCAAAGATAGTGGTTATGCTGCTCATTCTCATTTGGTCTTTACGCTGGTAAATACAAAGAGTCACGCTGTACTACGTCAGTTCGCATAATATTTTTCTCTTATAGCAGAAAATGAGGTAGAAACTGTAAGGTGTCTTTTATCGTTTATTAGTTGTATTATTAGTATTATTATTGTTGTTGTTGTTATTCATTTTGATCGATCTCCCACTTACGAGGCAAATAACAACCTTTTGAGCAGGATGTTGAAGCCATAAGAGTTCCAAGAGCCTCTCGAACCAACACCAAATATGGTCTTGCGTTTGTGCGCCTCAAGCTTAAGATTTGCCGTTTGCTAGTGTCGTATCCTTCTCCACTTGGATTCGGACGTCACTGTAAACTTGGAACTTCGTCATTTGCGACGAAATTAATCCTCAACCTGGTTCGCGTTCACAAGGTAAACGTCACTTGCTCTTACATGCTCTTCAAAGAGGCCCTACAGGATTTTGACAGTCAGTCATTCAGTGATGGCGGACTTGTTGAGGATAGTCGAAGACTCACTTTGATCCTTACTTCTGAATGATATATACTCCATAGTAGATTCTAAACTTCATCTATATTTTGCAGGAGGACTTACACAAGACCATTGCTTTCAACAACTCTGAGCAGGGTGTTGAAGCCATTAAAATCCCAAGAGGCTATCAAACCAGCATTAGATATTCTCATGTGTTTATACACTTCAGGACCAAGATTAACCATTCGTACGTGACTCATCCTCGTCCACTTGGAGTTGATCTTAACGTAGGACGTCACCGTAAATCTGGAACTTTCTATGCTGCTTCAAAGCCAGGCGCATGCCCTGTTCATAGGCATGGCAATGCAAGTGCCAACAGGCGAAACCCTTCATTATTCAAGAAGAGTCTACTTCCAGGGGAGGGCACACGAGCAGCCAAGGTATTAGTTGGGAGACCAGGAAAGGGAGGTTTGGGACGCCATGACCCAAGACATATTGCACAATTAGGTGTGATAACAAGGAGAGATCTTGTTCTGCAGGGTCCTTCCAATTGGGTACGACAGCAAGCAACAGCAGTTCAATCCTGGTAGGAGACTAGTTCTTCCGGGGTGCATTTGGGATAACTGCAAACTGTCAGATACAAGGAGTTGTCCGTCTTCGGCATGCTAAGTTATGAGTCAGGTTTGTGTGCATCTTGGCAGGGAAACCTGTTCTGATTGCAGTGATGACAAAAGGGGAAATGGAGAAAATGGTCCAGATTGTTTTTTAGAGGTTCACTCGTTAGGATCCGTGCGTGGAGGTTTCATCACGAGTTCGTGGTCAGTTCACTCCGATTAGTACTGCAGCTTGAGAGCTGTGTGGTAATATTAGGCAGTCTGATACTTACTTTTACGAGGGACACATTCTTGCTATAATTGTAACACCAATGCTTGTCCAAGAATTATCTAGTAAGAGTTGGTCAAGCTCAGGTTGTATGAATTTCTAGTCTATCGATTTTTGTGAAGATTTCAAGGTGTGCTGGTAAGCGCGCCATATGAATAGTTCGCATGAGATATTAATTACTATTAAATTTTTATTTTATTTTATTTTGTGCAAGTTGTGTTGCTACGATAGAAATGCATGGTTTAAAACCCAACATAAATTGAAACGCACCCCAATCAAAACGGAAGAGTATGTCAAACACTTACGTTCACAGTGGTGCGAGAACAACATCCTGGTGGTTTGGAAACATAACAAGCCCGAATGGAAGTTAGCTGGTCCAAGGAATAGTTTTGTCTATAATCCGTAGATTATGGTTCACATACTTGGGCGGACCTGACTGTTTTTTTGTATACTAACTTTCAGCACTGGGGAACAATCTCTATTTGTATCAAAAAAATAAAAAAAAATAAAAAAAAATAAAAAGAAAGAAGTAACAGTGGTCTCTGAAGCTCATTGAGATAGTACAACCTTCAATTTACATGAAATGAATGCTTCAGTTAAATGAGGCCAACTACTATGTTTGGAATGGTTGATATAAACTTCTCCATTGACGGTTAGACACCCTGTAGGCACCCCCCAAAATATATGGTGAAAAACAAAATCCAAACTCAAACAGAAAGAAAAAAAGAAAAAAAACGAGAGTAGACTATAAAATCAAAAAGACAACCGAAAGATTGAGTCAATATACTCTGCAATTAATGTTTGACATCAATAGTGAAAACAAAGTCAAATATTCATCTCTCATTAACAACAACAACAAACGAAATGAACTGTAAAAGAAAAGCTAGTGAAGAAAAGAGAAAGTAAAATTTGGGGTATATTACAGTCTTTTGTGTGAACCAAAAAAAAAAAAAAAAAAAAAAAAACTTCAAATACCAAGTACATGGACATTTTGGTCAAAAACTGGACTTTGGAACACGCTTCAAAGAATGATTGAGAGATGATTTTTGGGTCAAAGCCAGCTTCTCTAATGGACAACTTTAAGGGATCTTATCTCAAGAGAACTCCCGAATACAACAAACTGGACAAGTCAATCCCATAGATCCCATGTGACATTCACATCTTTTTTGGTGTTCAGTTTCCTTTTCTGAAGGCTCTTCATTCTAATGCAAAACCAACGACAGCAGAATTATTTTAATAATAACAATAATACGAAGAAGGAGAAGAAGAAGAAGAATCCATCTAACTCCTTTTCATTGCTTTAAACGTGAAGCTTTCCTTACCCATACCTGTGTTGGATTTTGAATCCCTGGTGCTTTTAGATCCCAGTAATGTACAACAATCATAATCTGTGCAAGCCTCGGATCCAGTTGTTTTGCACTGTTATCCACATAATTGAGTCCCACAAAGCTGGAAAGCGAACCAGCCTAAATCTCACACACGCACACACATCAGTTTTGCTTTCAAGTAAGCCATTCAAGCTATGGTTGGAAAGCACCAACCACATCCAACTTCACAAGACCACACAACTCCAGTGAGATGACACCGTTTTGTACGCATTTTGATGCAACAGCATCTGGAAGAACTACACGAAACCACCGAAAACGACCAGAAATTGGGTGGTTGACAAAAAAATAGTACATGGAATAAACAAAAAGGTGGTATTTCTTTTCTGTTCAAAAATGCTTGCGTATTAAACCACTTATATCCAACTTGAAGTGAAAGAAGAGGAATATACGTGACATTCATCGCACCTTCTGGAAAACCCAACTTTATACTATCCTTTACCCAGATCACACCTCTTTGGCTGGACAATTTGAACCTTGAGGACAAAAGAAAAACAGCTTCCGCGATTGCGGTGGTTGGATACTGTGTGTGGGTGGAGAATTCAACAGTAACGATGAGAATCATTCGTTAAATTAACGCTTCGAAATCTTGCCTTCGCCGAGAATGGTGTCATCGATGTCCGAGGGGGGGAGGGTTGGAGGGCGTTGCATCACGACATTGAGCATGGATGAATGCTGCTTGCTCTGGGGGGGGGGGGGGGGGGGGTCAATCTGGTGTGGACGTAGCGAGGGAGGAATTTAACGGTGAAGCTTCGGAGGAACAGGAAGAAAGTAAGGAAACCGCGCAGGCTTTGGTACATCCGGTGCTCGCATCCCCTGGGTATCTTCTGTCGTTGCGTCCATTAAGGACACACGTTCTGTCATCAATCCGCTCTGCAACTCCAGTTACCCAGCTTTAGAGGCTCCACGGTCACATGTCACGTCTGATTGTGCCACCCCGACCAATTCCTCGTCGTCACTGCCGTTCATTCAATCTCTTTCTAAGTCCAGGCCATCGTTGGCTATGCGTTGCTAATACGAGATGAAATTGTCGAATGTGCCGTCTTCGGAGGAAGATAACAAAGTTTGTCCTGCATTTTTTAGTCTTCAAGTTGTTCACGATCCTGGAAGAGAAGGGCTGTGAGTTGGGTTACTCTGTTTTGTTTTTTCCTTTGAGTTGATGGGTTGAGATGTGAAGTGAAATTTTTTGAGGTTGAGAGGCAACATACTTTGATCACTATGTTATTATTACTGTAACAACAATCATTATCACTTGATTACAGCATCTTTTTTGGAAAAAATTTGAGTGCGGGATGTCTTGAGTCGAGATCTTCGAAAGAGCTTCGTGCGTTTCTTTCGAGAATACAAGAATTCGGGAGTTGATTGTGTTGGGAGTAATGTGGGGTGTGGTAAGGACGTGCTAGAAGTTCCGGAGAGTAGAGGGAGGGGTTATGGAAGAACAAGAGGACATAGCAGTCACGAGAATTGGATGAAGCGTTGTAAAAGTTCGCAACCACCTTCGTCTGGCGAAGAGAAGCAGTCACTGATTTATTGTAGCAAAAACTTTGTTTCAATGCTGGTTACTAGGCTAGCTTTTGCAACCTACGAGGGCCAAGACCGGAGTCGCATTCCCATTACAGACGCTTGATTGCCAAGTATGATATTCTCCAGTTCATTCCTCTTGTATCCGTGATTTAGAACAAAAGCCCCTCAGATTTGTGAATATCCGGACCGATTTCTCCTCGCAATGTTTCGCCGTATAGTCCTTCGTTCTAGGTTCTTCAAGCGCTTAGTGTATTGTTTTTTTCGTGTGTGTGTGTCTGTGTTTTTTTTCATTTTTTTCATTTTTTTTGACAATTTTGACGGACATGACAGTAGCTCGTGAAGTCTCGGCGCACAGGGTCAGCATGGCGCCTTCGCCGGTCCAGAATGCGAGCATGAAGCAGGAGGAGCGCGTCTCCGTGCAGATCACCCCTCGGCGTCGCCTTCCCGATTTTTTGCAATCCGTAAACTTAAAGTATGTGAAGCTGGGTTATCATTACCTTATTACTCATCTGCTGACTCTTCTATTCATCCCGCTCGTGCTTACGATCCTCCTGGAGGCCGGCCGCATGGGACCAGACGACTTGCGGCAGCTGTGGGATAATTTGCGATTCAATTTAGTGAGCGTCATCACATGCTCAGCTCTCTTGGTGTTCGGTGGTACGGTCTACTTCATGTCGCGCCCTCGTTCCATCTTCCTAGTGGACTTCGCATGCTATCTTCCTGATGAAAGGCTTCAAGTTCCAATTCCCTTGTTCATGGAGCGCACACGGATGGCGGGGTTTTTCGACGAGAAGAGTCTAGATTTCCAGCAGAAGATTTTGGAGAGGTCGGGGCTCGGGCCGAAAACATACCTCCCTGCGGCGATGCACGAGCTTCCGCCGTGCCCGAGCATGAAAGCTGCGCGGGAGGAAGCCGAGCAGGTCATGTTTGGCTGCCTCGACGAGCTTTTCGAGAAGACGAGCATTAAGCCTAAAGACGTTGGCATCCTCGTCGTGAACTGCTCACTATTCAATCCGACGCCTTCCCTCTCCGCCATGATTGTGAACAAGTATCACATGCGTGGCAACATCCGCACATACAACATGGGGGGAATGGGATGCAGCGCGGGCGTGATCGCTATTGACCTCGCCAAAGACATGCTCCAAATTAACGGGAGCACATACGCTATCGTCGTCAGTACCGAAAACATCACGCAGAACTGGTATTTCGGCAACCGAAGGTCCATGCTCATCCCTAATTGCTTATTCCGCGTCGGAGGTGCTGCGATCCTCCTCTCTAACAAACGCAAAGATGCTCGCCGGTCGAAGTATAAGCTCAACCATGTGGTAAGGACACACAAAGGAGCTGACGACAAATGCTACAACTGCGTCTACCAGGAACAGGACCAGCAAGGCAATATGGGAGTCTCTCTCTCCAAAGACCTCATGGCCATAGCCGGGGAGACTCTGAAAGCCAACATCACAACCCTAGGCCCCCTCGTCCTTCCTCTCTCCGAGCAGCTCCTCTTTTTTACCTCCCTCGTGACACGAAAGGTCTTCAACATGAAGGTAAAGCCCTACATTCCCGACTTCAAGCTTGCCTTCGACCACTTCTGTATCCACGCCGGTGGCCGGGCTGTGATTGACGAGCTCGAGAAGAACCTCCAGCTCACTCCCGAACACTGCGAACCCTCACGCATGACGCTTCACAGATTCGGCAACACTTCCTCCTCTTCCATCTGGTATGAGCTTGCGTACATGGAAGCCAAGGAACACGTGCGACGCGGACACCGAGTGTGGCAAATCGCCTTCGGCAGCGGCTTCAAGTGCAACAGCGCTGTGTGGCAGGCGCTACGCAACATCAAGCCCTCACAGCGATCTCCCTGGGCTCACTGCATCAATGAATACCCGCAACACGTCGATGAGATACAAAAATTCGGTTAAGGATCTAATTCCTCATTTCTCCAAAAAAAAACATTTCCTCAGTGACTTGCTGCTAGCTGCAGGAAGCCATCTACCGCAGCAGGTAATTGAACATACCATTAGATAGTGAGCTCTCCGCAGCTACATGTCCAGAAACACAGATTAAATAGCTCCCTTCCGAGTGCTCTCATCTCGGTTCATCCCTGGCTGATTACCAGCAACCATCTGCATATGTGGAGGTATTGCTTGCGGCACATCTACAGAATTTGATTGTAGCTCCACAGCGATGTTACTATTTTAGTGTTCTCCTTCCGCGAGCGAGACGAGAAGCGAGCACCGATCGATGCTCATGCAACTCTCCATTGTATTTTAGGATTCTAGCAACTGTGCATTTGCTGCTAAAAGCTCGTAGATCGATTGGTGTGGAACCCAACTGCAATCAATTCGATAGCTGTTCGTATGTTTCAAGGGCTTGATATCCCGAATCTTGTCCTGCGGTCTTTTCTGAGCTTGTGCTTCATATTATGAAATTTGTCGAAATCGTCGATCTTCCTCAACTCCGTTCTCGAACATGGAACACGAGATTGTTTTGGGACCATGTTTGTTTTCTTTAACGACTACGTTAAGCAAATCCAGTATGCACGTAAACATTGCAATTCGGCTTTTCAGTCGAATTCTCTCGAAGCTTTCACAATGTGCGACTCTCGTGAGCTTGTCTATGTAACTACTTTCTCAAATAAGGAACCTCTGAGTCAGTGTTATGGTTTTACTTTGTTCACATTACTGTCGGAATCAAAGACCTATGAAAGATTGTATCAACTTCGACAGTGGCAACGTCGTAGTTGTGATATTGTATTACTGTGTTAATTGTGTACTTGATTCTTGGGTTTTTCTCGGATACTAGTGATGTTGCCTAATTTACTCATGGAATGTGTCCAATATTAGCATCCCTTCTATTTCAAAATTTCATAGGTAGTGACACAAGAAAAATAAAATAATGGTGATAACGATTTAGTTTAGTCAGAAAGACCAACACCAATTGAAATAAACAACACAAGCAAATATGTATATATATAAATACAGAAACTAAAAAGATTTTTATGGCAAAAATAGCTCCATTTAATTAAGTGTGTTGTTGAAGAGTCATAAATTTTCAAAGATGGGACTATTTTGAAATGACTATTCAAAATTATTCATAGAATATTTTTAATTAAATTGAATTAAAAGATATATAATAATATAAGTTCTAATGACAAAATAGATTTTCTATTAATTAAAAACCTAAGTTATAAAAAACAAACTAAAATCATTTTAAAAATATACTTTATATTATATGCTAGCTATTAGTATTGTGCAACTAGTAAGGTCCATTTCTACAATTGCTTTGTAATCTCCAATATCAATGACACCTAGTATCAAGGATATATATATCTATTGTAATTATTACCTAGATAATAAAAATAGGTAGAAGTAGGTAAAAATACATTAATTTCATAATACCTTTTAGAAAAGCTTCCAAGAACCTTCTTAGATGCTGCTTTGACTTTCCAATTATTTGTAATTGATTAGTAGGTTATAAACTTCGTCAAAAAGCTAATCATGTACCACATATGTTGGTAGCTTGCAGAACAAGCTATATCTGTGTTAAGGACAAGAACTCGAAGAAAGCAAATAATCAAATGAGGCTCTTTCAAATAAATATGACAAAATAAAAATAGAGAAGTATATATATATTAAAAAAAAATTCGAATAGCTATTGCCAAAAGACAAAGAAACTAGAGACCTTTGAAACTAAATTAGAAGCAAGAAAAGAGTTGACATGAATGAAGAAGGCTTTAAGATATAAAAGCTTTGAATGTTTTACATGAATTTAAACAAGGTCTAGTTCTACAACCACTTTGTAATTTTTAATATAAAGCCACCTAAATGGCATTATAGGAGCAGTTGAAATTCAATGCTGCTTCAATTCAATAATCAATTTATTCAAATTTGATATAACTTCATTATCAACATAAATTTGATATTTTAGTACAATTAATTGCAATTCAAGTGAGAGCTACTTGTCATGCCTCTTGTCAATTATATCAAGTGATAGGCTACACCGGATCATACCCTTATACACATGCATGAGGCTATTATCATCTCTTATTACATTCACATGCTTGATTGTCTTTACTATAACTTCAAAAAAAATGTCATACTAAAGTTTTTGATAGCTCTCAATATATTATCATATTATAACAAAACTATTAGTAGAAAGAAAAAATATGCATTACATTATAGAAGAATTTATATAAAAAATATATTAGCAATATAAAGATAAAAGATAAGAAGGTAGTAAATGTTTTTAATGTTGCAATTGCCTTTTTATAAAAAAGACTTTTATCTCTTTGTTGATCTATAGAAAAAAAAAATATATATATATATATATATATATATATATATATATACATCTTTAGATAGAAAAAAATATAAGGTTTTACCAATAATTATTTAAATTAATTAATTATTAAAACGTGATTATAAACCTAGGTCAAAATTAGATTTTAAAGAACAAAATTGCACATCTTCAAAAATTGTAGGATTATTTTGTTAATTAAAAAATAATATTATTGAGAAGACTTGATGAAAGTTTTTTTAATATTAAATTGGAGTGATTTGAATTGATATTAATGTTATAAGAACTTTGCAAGGTTTGAAGTATTTTAGGTGATTTTGGGATTTTAGAAATTATTAAAGGTTTACAGTTTTGACGTTATTGTAAGCATTAAATTTGATTGATGGATGAAAATTTATAGTATTATGAATCTACTTCTTAAAATGTTTTTATATAAATTTATATTCAATAAAATAATTATGATATTTTTTTTAAAAAATCAATTGGATTAAGATCTCAAAATTTAGGTTTCAAAGATCAATGAAGGTTCTTTTGATCTTGATTAATTTTCTAGTTGGATTAAAAAAATAATTTGTAAATACATAATAAATTATATTTTTAAATATTTTCCAAACTTAATTATAAAGAAATTACTTAATCAAGAATTTTTTTTGTTGATAGATTAATATGATGGTTTAAAATAAACTACAAATATCTAAAAAAATATTGAAATTTTAATTACAAATAAATACTTTCTTATTACAAAATATAAGTTTAAATTCTAGAATCAAGTGCCTTGTATACTCTTAATAAAGACAAAATATAATATAACAATGTTTATTCAATCACTGTCCTTTGTAGCCTTGAGATTTTACTTCGTCCATAGATTTATCTAGGAATCAAGGACAAGAACTTGATGAAAGCAAATAATTAAATGAGTCTCTTTCAAACAAATATGAAAAAATAAAAATAGAGAAGTATATGTATTAAAAAAAAAATTGGAATGACTATTGCCAAAAGACAAAGAAACTAGAGACTCTTGAAACTAAATTAGAAGCAAAAAAAGAGTTGAAAAGAATGAAGAAGGCTTCATTCTTGCATTTATATATATTATCTATCTAAGATGTATATGGTGACATTCTATAAGACCTCCAAAAATATGTTCACTTTGTATTACACATATTTTAACTTGCAAGATAAGTTTTCTATATGGACACTATATAGTTAGCTTGTTTTGCAAGCTACCAAATTTATGTGGCACGTGGTTAGATTATTGACTAAGTTTCTAACCTACCAATCAACTACAAACATATGTAAAGTCAAAACAATGTCTAAGAAGCTTCTAAGAAGTTTTTTTAGAAGGTATTATGAAATAAATCTACTTTTATCTACCTCTACTTATTCATATTATCTAAATAAAAATTACATTAGATATATATTCATGACATTATCCCCCCTTTTAGGAACGAGTTCCACAAGGAGTGACGACCACATATTGAGGAAGTTTAAGATGCAACAAATTGTATTTGCCATGTACTCTGATCTTTGTTCTTTTTGAAGATAGTTGATAGGTCTTCTTAGCCATCAGTAATATTCCATCCTTGGATGAGAAGACCACCTCGTGATTTGATTATTATTGAAACCTTCATAGCTTCTTTCAAACAAAACATTTGTAATACCATCAAAAATTGTGCCTACCTCCAATAAAATCACCAAACATTAAGAGTCTCTTTCCAGATCATGGTATCAAATGTGTTATATCTTGCCATCTATTCAAAAAAAAACATGTCATTTTTGAAGGTTTTCATCCCTATTACGTCATCTTGAAGGTTGTGATAATCATAATGTCTCATCCAATAAGTCAATAAATGATGGTTTTTGAGTTGAATCCATTGGCTATTGGTTCTCCATCTTTTTAATACCATAATTACATAAAAATAAAAACAATGATAGAAGGTAGAATACAATCTTTCTTAAATTGTGTTTATTTTATAGCAAAGATTTGCTATCTTTCATGTTGGTTTTGATGGATGTCATTGATGAAAAGCTTTGACCTTCTTTATTGCATTTTAAAGATTTTTTGTTGGCTCTTATGTATATTTGTTAATATCATATTTGTACCAATGAATAAGATATTTTAATTTATATCAATGCTGCCTTGAGTCTAAGACTTCTTTCACCTTGAATTCTTGATTACTATCCACTTCTATAGGAGGCAGTGGTATTTATCTTCTTTTCAAGTTATTCACTATTTTATTTGGCTCTAAAAGAGACACGTGAAATATGGGATGGATTTTCATAGACTCTGGTAGATATAATTGATAAGCAATTGGATTGATTTTTTCACAAATAGGAAATAGTCTAAGTCTATAATAATCCAACTTATCACAAAGGCAAATAATTTTAATATTATGACAAAGTAATCATACCTTATCACCAATATAAAAATAAGGTTGTTCGTTGTAATAAGCATCCACATTGTTCTTTTGTTGTTCTTGAGCCTCTTTCAATTGCACGTTCATTGTTGTATATAGCTCAAATAAATGATTTATCAAATCTTTTGCCACAAGATTGTAAACTTTTGAAAAGTCAAAAACATCAAATTATGGATGATAACCATAATTAGCAAAGAAAGGTATTTATTGCATAGAAGAATGTATCATGTTATTATAAATAAACTCTATCAATGGCAAAAGAATTGTCCAATGATCTTGTTGATAATTGATGGTACATCTCAAATACTACTCCAAAACTTAATTTATATGCTTTGTTTGTCTATCAATTTGAGGATAAAAAGTTAAAAATCGTTTTATATCTACTTTTAGAATCTTGAAAAGTATTTTTTAAAATCTTGATATAAATTGAATTTTCCTATTTGATATAATATCCTTAGGCAATCTATGATAAAAATAGATATTGTCAAGAAAAAACTTGGCTATTTTTTCATCTATAATATTTTTTATACATAGTACAAAATAAGCCAACTTGGTGAATAATTGACTATCACGAATATAAAGTTACAAGAACTTGAGACTGGAAGGTCTGTGATAACATCCATAGAAACAAAAGACCATGATTGTTTTGAAATAGATAATGGTTGGAGAAATCCATAGGGTTGATGATGAGGAGTTTTTGACCTTAAATAAATATTACATGATTGAACAAAGTCTTTCATTGCCT